TTTTTTTTTTTTATATATATGTAGCAGTGACATGCGGTGAGGTTCATAGCTGGTGAGGCAATGACTTAATCATAATCAGATTTACAAATACAGCCCCCAGTATGTTATTGTTTACACATGGAAATTTCAGCAAAAACACAATACCTTTACATGCCATCCATAGCCGCGCTGCTGCAGTAGAATAATTCCCTTAACTCAACGAAACTTGGAAATTTAGGTATTATTAATTTAGTGCTATGCTGCAAAGCAAAGGGAAAAACCAAAGTACAACTCAAAACCACTTCTTTCTCGCTCTCTGTATCTCCCAAGCTACACACAGACTCGTTGCCATCCTTTATGTTTCAGGATTCAACACCAAAAAACACTCAAATGTTTCCCACACAAGGAACAATACATTCAGTCTGTTGCAGTGGTATGGTTTTAGGTTTAATGTTTATTTTGCGATTATTAATAAGTGATTGCTGTGGTAGATTATAAGTACTGCTGATATTAGTTAATCTAACACAGCAGTTTGTGGGTTATGTTTCTTTTCTGCATTCTTTACACATACAAACTGTACCTCACAAAATGAACATTTCATTAATAAACTAAACAAAAAATGTTATTGCCGTCTTACCTTTACTTATAAATGAAGTCTGTGCGCCAGTCATTCTGCACAAAACTATCAGTTCATCCAAAACCAAGTCTATCCTTGACACAAATTGAGAAAAGATGACAAGGAAAGCAGTAATGGCTGTTTCTAGCAGGACATCCACAAAATCTGTCTTTTCTTTATACCACTCCGTTTGAGAAGAGCGGTACCCTTCTTTCTCGAAGCAAACCTTTCAGCTCCGGTGTTGGTCATCCTTTAGCATCATTTCCTGCTTTGATTGAAAATCCATTTTAGAAAAATGTTTAAGTGTTGAAATGTAGTCATTGGAGTTTCTCCAATGTATTGAAGGCAAGTTATGTATATCCCTTCTCCAACACACTTGAATTAAATGAAGCGCTTGTTACCAGGCCTCTGCAGAGCTTAATGACTGCTGGTATGCGTATGTTGGAGCAGAGATCTAAAAGTTGCAGGATGGTAGCTCTTGAGGACTGGACTTGGACACCTCTAGTGCAACCTATCTTTTATCACTACATCATACTAATGAGTTGCAAAAGTAGCTTAGAGGTGGTAAGGGGACTATGTTAAAAAATAACTTGTGTCTGGCCATGACCAGCTCTAGTAATTGGTACTAAGTGGGTATACATCAATGAATCAGTCACTTAATGTATGCTTTGTTTTTGGGTAGTTGGAAACAGAGATACAGCTAGTGTCAGAGGCCTATGAAAACCTTGCCAAGTCTTCCTCTAAGAGAGAAGCATTGGAGAAAACTATGAGGAGCAAGTTGGAGCTACAAGTGCGCCGACTGCATGACTTCAACAGAGACCTGCGAGGTGAGAACTGAGAAAAGGATTAATTATTTACTATGTTGTAAAGATGCTTTTGCAAGCTAGACAGTAGTTCAATGTGAATTTTAAATGATATCATAATTCTGTCAAAAATAATGTAGATCTAATTATCAGACAATATGAAGCATAAATGGAGACGTAAATATTCACATAAAGAACATTTATTGAACAAAACATGGATATGTTATATGTGAGCTTATTGTTCATTTGTTAGCTTTGGAATTTCTTGAGTTAACTCAGTGCTTCTCAATTCCAGTCCTCAGGCTGGAATTGCTCTGCAGGTTTTAGATGTGCCTCTGTTCTAGAACAGCTGATTCAACTGATTGCATGACTATCAGGTACTGCAGAAGCCTGTTAATCACCCACAGATTCAATCCAGGTGTGTCGCAGAAGGTCAGGGGGGCGTGAGGACCGGAACTGAGAAACACTGAGTTAACTGAAGTTTTCTAATAATCTATTCTTCCCCCCTTTTTTTCACTCATCATCCATGAGCTCTAAAATCTCTAAAATCTGGGTGGCTGCTCTTAACATCAGTAACTAATTTTTCAACATCACAGCAATCATGTCTCTTGTTAAATAACTAGGAAATGGTCTAACATTACCTTGAAGTTACTCAGCCATTGTCTACAGCAGAGGTTCCCAAACTATGGGGTGCGCCCCCTAGAGGGGGCGCTGTGCCATTGCAGGGGGGTCGGGAAGCCGTCTGGATGAAAAAAACAAAACAAAACATGAACGCTGTATGCGCTGGGTTTTTACCTTAAAATGGCCAACTCTCTGTTATTCCTATGTCAATTTGATACAGTAGAGGCTTCCACACTTCCCATATTTGTGTCCTCTGTCACTTTTATCAGCAGTTAAAACTGTTTAATCCGTTGTTAACATGTTGTAACCTGTTTTTTCGAGCTGCCTTTAAACGCAACATGAGCGCTATGACGCTCGCGCTGGGTTTCCACCTGTGAAGGAGACCTGCTGCTGCTGTGGAGCTACGTAGGTTTGTGTTAGAATCACGGCAGCAAACCAGCAAAACGCAAAGAACTTTTCAGTTTTTCCCTCCAAACTAACCGACTGAGTTGAGTAAAGCTGTTGGATGCAGGTAAAGTTAGCTAAAAGATGACTAGCTAAAATCAATACAGCACCTTAAGCTTGTTAACAAGTAGCCTGTAGGCTACTGATGTTGTCTATGTTCAGCTACGATTCATTTTGCCCCCCAAAGAGTTGATTCCCCCCCTTGTTCATCTGGAGCCGGAGCAGAGTATAACAGGGAGTCTCTAAGAATCCACCCCTCACCCCCTTCGCTCACACACATCGTTCAACCAGACAGCTATTTGTAAGCCATCCGGGGGAAAACACTGGGGGGCCCGGGAGAAAAAGTTTGGGAACCACTGGTCTACAGAATACCCACCGGCCACTTAGTGAGGTATGCCTTGGTGGTACCTAGTTAGACCCACTTCTTTTTCTTTATAACTGTCTTAATTCTTCATGACATAGTTTAAACAACGATGATATATTCCTGAGGTTTTGGTCCATAATGACCGTACATCACTATGGGTGCTTCAAAGACATAAGGTCATTATGTCAAGTGCACATCCATAATTAAAATTTCCTGTTACATACCTTCCCAAAAGTGCTGTGTTGGATTGAGACCTGATAATTGGACATTGGGGTACAGGTAACTTGTTGTCATTCCCTGGTAAAGCAGGTAGACTCTATTTAATCATTGCTCACCAGATACGAGTTCAAAATTATATCAAGCAAATATCTCACACCATTGAACCATGAGCAACTTAAACAGTTGTTGCAAGGTAGCATCAATCCATGCTTCCATGTTTTCTACTTCAAATTTTCACCCTAGCATTTAAATGTTTCAGCTGAAATTGAGATTTGTCAGAGAGGGTAACTGTTTTCTGTTCTTTTGTTATTCAGCTTTGAGGAACTGAATTGGGTGTTCTGCATAGTTACAAGCTCATTGTATATTTTCTGTTCTCTGAATAATTCATTGTAAACCTGATAAATGGTTGTGTATGAAAATTACAAAAGATCAGGAGTTTCTGAAATAACTGCTTGTGAGTTATGTTTGTGTGCATGCTGCAAATGGTAGAGAAATAACTTAGTCTTCCAGGAAAATCATTCATATGACGTCATCGCTGGTGATGTTGAAGTAAATCTTACATAGTTTTGGATAGTTTTCTTTTGCAATTTAGGGTTGCATTTGCTCTTCGGGAACCTTTACTCCAGTTGAATTAACTTTATACCTTTAAAAAATATTGAAAATTACTGTCACAGGAACATGAATCAACTTTTAGATGAACTTGTAGCCTTTACTTTTAACATATCTATCATTATGTTTCTGAACTCCTCAATCAGCTCTTGCATTTGCTTTATATGCTCCGTATTAGTGCATAAAATTTGTTTACTTTAGATAGGCTGAATGAAAACCTTGAATGCTCCTTTCATAATATGATTTTATATTTAGCTTAAAGCATAGCTATAATGCAAGTGTTAGTCGTCTCTTTATAGGTACCAAGAAATCAAATTATATTATTTTAACATATCAATAAAATAAACAGACATAAGTTTATGTTATAACATTATTTTCTGTGTTTCATTCCAAAGGCATGTACATTTAAATAAATATATATATTTAAGAAATAAAGCATTGTTGTAATTCACTGAAAGGGTGATGATCCATGTGTCTTCAGACTGAAATGTAGCCACAGTTTTTATCTCTCATAAAGGTTAACAAAAAATGATCTTATCCAAGCCATTGGATCCCCATTCTTTAATAAGACTTGTGACAACTTAAAGTGTTAACATGACAGATTTTTAAATTATTTTTAAAATATTATTTATTTATGCATGTCATGATGCATTTGTCTTATGATATTTTAAAGAGCGCATGGAGACTGCTAATAAACAGCTCGCCTCTAAAGAGTGTGACAGCTCTGAAGACAATCGGAAAACCATCTCCCAGCTGGTTGCTCAGAGTGAGTGACAGGCACACACGCACGCACACACATGTGACTCGGCAATCCAATTGTGTATTAGCTTAGAACATTTTTGAAACAACTCTGAACTGAGATTTTGTGTATTAAAATTTGAAGGCCATGACCGCTCCAACTTGTAAATAAATGTATTTTTGATTTTAGAAGTGCCTTTCAATATTCCTTTTACTAGAGAAAGTTCTTTAGGGGTGTTGTAGCTGAATCAGCTTTTATTGATCATTAGATTTGTTGGAAATAAATTAAGCTGACTACAATGGCAAGAGCCATGAAGCCAATGAATCGGCAGAATTCAGTCTACATGCATTCAAAATACACAAAAAGAAGGGGTGCTTTATATATTCAACGACCATAAATGTGTTTATATTCTATTGTCCATTAAGATAAAGAAATTCTGCGGGAGAAGGAAAAGCTGGAGATGGAGCTGAATGCACTTCGCTCAACTGCAGATGACCAAAGGAGACACATTGAGATCAGAGACCAAGCGCTGAACAATGCCCAGGCAAAAGTGGTTAAACTGGAGGAGGAGGTGAGAAAAATATAGATTAACTTTGTATCCTGATATATTACTAAATTATCTCAACAGATAAAGAAGAGGAGGCATTCTATTAATTGGACCAGATAACTGCAAATGTAGATCTTTGGGATTTACTTCACCCCTCAATAGCAAATGCGAGTGTTCTATTACAATATCAAACTAGAACTGCAAGCAGTTACAATGGGTTCTTCACCCAATCCAGCAGGTCCTTCCCATGCACCGCCCCATCTATGTAGACATCACTTGACATGCGTATTAATATGTTTTCCATACCCGGAATTAAACCTGCAGCCTCAGAGTCCATCACATTACTCAGCGAGCTATTTCACTGTGCTTACTCATGTTGGCTGAGAAAACAAATTCAAAATGAATTTATTGATCCTGCAAGGAAATGAAGTGAAATACATGGCTCAACCCAGAATCAAACCTGCAGCCTGATTCAGAGTCCATTGCATTACTCACTGAACTATACTGTTTAATGCACTCATGTTCATAGTCAAACAGAAAGGGGATTCGCTGACATTTGATTTAGCATTGAGGGCACAGGACTGCATTATTTTAAGATAAATTATAAAAAAATCTAAATTGTGAATGTGTCCTGGTCAGTCACAATAAAGTATATCTGGAGTAAGCCATTAAAAGTTGACAAACGTAAAATACACAAATGAAGCACCCTGACTGGGACGTTGACTGGGCCTGTGGCTGGCCCAGATAAGGTGGGTTTGGCACCATCATGTGGCCAATTAGGATCACTACACAATGTGGTCAGATTACACTCCTATATATCTCCCCTGCTTATAATTGCTTTTCGCATATAGAAATGTTGAAAATGCCCCTAAAATGTACCAGTTTGAGCTAAAATCTGAAAATTACACTAACTAATAAAACTTGATTCTCCTTTATAATATATATTTTTTATGTTGATTTGTTGAAATATGAATGGAAACAAAAACATTAAATATTACGAGCACTTAGAGTGAAAGTTTGATTTACTGTTATTCAAACAAAGAAGCTCAGATTCTTACTAAACTTTGAAGGATGACTGAGGCTGATGTGTTCCACTAGTATGAAATATACACAGAGTAGATGAAATATTCAGAACAATTCAGAGAAAGCATCCTGAAAATTTTAGCTCATTTGGATGAACGTGTGATTTTTTTTTAGATTTTTTTTAAAAGTTTGGAGGTCAAATGTAGTACTTTTCAAGTTTTTGTTAATAACCCAACCGTACTTCAACCAATCATGACCATACTCAAAATACAAGTTAGGCCAGTGGAGTGGAGGTATGTACAAAGTTTGGCGGAAATCCGATCAGCGGTTTTTGCGTAGCAAATTTTGCAATTTTACAGCGCCACCAAGTGGTGGATGTTGACAAAAACTAGCTAGACATGATCGATATCGTGTTTGTACTTGCTGGTACGAAGGAAACTGTGAAATGTTTTACGGTTCCAAAATTATGGGCAATTGAAATTTGCAGCTACGTACGACGTTTAATTATGTATGTATGCCATCAGTGATTATATGTAAGCCTGTCACGATAACACATTTTGCTGAGTGATTAATTGTCTAAAAAATTATTGCAATAAACGATAATATTGTTTAAAGACCTTTTGACACTCATTTAATAGAAATGACTAATAATGCATGCGATTTCGTGCCATATATAGATACACTTTATTTTCAAAAGAACACATAACACTGGAACTGATAAACTAAATAAACAAAACAACCAAAAACTAAAAGGATTCTCAGTCTCCATTAACAAAATACGTACTTGAATAAAAACTAAACAACATAAAGCCAAAGTGGAAATAAATACTGCATTCAACCAAAAGAGTGCAGATTATGAAGTCTGTATACTATTGTTAATCTTTCCTGATGAACCTCCAAACTTCGTGGGGGAAAACACAGGAGAGCTCCTTCTCACGCCTAGGCTGAAGTGGTTGGGGACTTCAGGGTTAACTCCCTTAGTGGTTCACAGCGTTCTGGTGCGGCAAGCAAGAGACAGTCAAAGGTTCCTTCGGAAGCTGAACATTTATTTCTAGTGCGGTAACAAACATACGACCACTAACTGAACAATCGCTCTCCTGCACATGGAACTCTACTTACCGTATTTTCCGCACTATAAGGCGCACCTAAAAACCTTCAATTTCCTCAAAAGCCGACAGTGCGCCTTATAATCCGGTTC